CAATGTTAATAGCTCCCTCCTCATGGCTTGCTCAGTTTGCTTTCATATTATCCCAGGACCGCCAGCCCAGGGGTGGTACTACCCACAGTGTGCTGAACCCCACTACATACCAATTATTAACTGAGAAAATGCTTAGCCGACTTGCCTATAGGCCAATCTGATGGAGGCATTTTCTCAGTCAAGATTCCCTCTTCCCAGATATGTTGAGCTTTGTGTCAAGTTAACAAAAAAACAAACTCTGTGTGTGTGTGTGTGTGTGTGTGTGTGAGAGAGAGAGAGAGAGAGAGAGAGAGAGAGAGAGAGAGGGAGAGAGACAGAGAGAGAGAGAGACAGAGAGAGAGAGAGAGACGACAGAGGTGTAGAGGGAGAGAGAGAGCCAGACAGACATAAAAACAGAAGGGGGCTATTTTGAGGGTAAAGGACCCCATGGGAAGTTGAAGGGGTAAAGAGCAAAGGAGGATGAACACGAGTGAAACCCAGGGATATGTACGTAAAAACATCATAGTACGTGCTAACTAAAAACTTAGTTATTGAAAGAAAATATGTTTAGAACATTTCAAAGTTAGGGTTGGAGCTGAAAACATGAGAAAGGAGTTCTACACCATCAAAAATGCTTCTCATCTTGAGATAAGGAAAGGGGATTCCTAGAAATAAAATACATAGTAGAAATTTAGTGACAAACATTGGGGTTGCTAGGAAATTAAATAGAGCTGAAGAGAGAACCAGTTAGTCGGAAGACAAAAGGGCACCATCCTGAGAGGATTATGAGAGAAAATGCAAAAGAAGAGAGTCCGATTACATCCGATTTCCATTCCAGAGACAGGCGAAGTGCAAGAGCAGAGAAAGCATTCTTAAAAATTAATGACAGAATTTTTCAGTGCTAAAGTGAACTAAATCATAAGACCCAGAGAACACAAAATCTATAGGCAACTGAAAAGAATGGGCAGAATTCCAGAGACAAAACAAAAAATTAGAAGCGGGCAAAGAGAATGAACTACCTAAAGGAACAAGTATCAGCAGCACTGACAACGAAAAATTATAGCAAAATAAACGTGGAAAAGAAAAATATTTCAAGTTACTGGAAAAGAAGAAGACAGTGACATATTACTGTCGAAGCATTTAGAAAAAAACATTCACAATGATTTTAAACTGTTTTAACCCTCAAACAAAAATCAAAACATTTATAAAGGAAGAAAAATTGAGGAACTTATTTCTGGAGTTCTGTTTCCCTTAGGAAGTCAGCCCAGCAGGGTTGCAGCAACTGTGTGAATTGTGCTTAAGGAACACACACACACACACACACACACACACACACACACACACGTCCATCCGGGAGCCTGGTGTGGCTGAGTGGGGTCCTGCCTCTGGGGGTGGGGGCAGTGGTATTTTGGATGGTGATGCAATCTGTTTTCATGTGTGTTGTTGTTGAGTCCTGTGTGTATTATTCAATAAATGTTACTTTCCACAGATGGAAACAGAGTTTGGAGCAGGATGCACCTTCGCTAATTTGCATGAGAATGTTCTGTGCAGCAGCCAGAACAAACGTGCTGGGAAGTTAAACAAACATGAATGGCGTGTAAGACATATAGGAGCGAAGGAGAAATACATGGGGAAAGTCACGGGTAGGATAGCATTTAGGAAGGGTGGGTTGTCAGAGTGGAAACATTCTAAGGCCTTTCTGTTGTCCTGGAGCACAGAGATCTGCAAAGGTTGGAAAACAAACCCAGCTCAACTTTTCTCGTGAAACATTTTGAAATAGGGCAGAAGCTTAAAGGTGTAGACCGCACACGCTCTGTCAGGGCAGACGCCTGCACCTGCTTCTCACTACTTAAAGAACACAGGATGAAGAGTGGAGAGCTACATCCAACTTCATGAAGGCAAGAGACGGGAGGAGCTCCCCACCTGGTGCTGCACCTGCCAGGGCTCCCCCTCCCCCAAGGCCTCCTTGTTTCCACCCCAGAGCCACTCCCAAGAGTCTCTTTAGCTTCCAGAATAGTCTCTAATAGCCCCGAAGGCGCTTTCCAGGGTCTCCTCTGCCTTGGGAGTGGTGAGGTCAGACAATAGCAGCCTAACTAACAACGCGTGGATAGTCTCAAAACCTAGACTGCTGAGCTAGACCGTTAAAGAAGTTTGCATACATATGTCCCTTATTTAAAACGTAAAAACATAAAAAAAACATTATTATATATTGCTTAGTGGTACAGTCATCTGTCAAACGATATAAAGGTGCCCATGGAGTTGATTGACAAATCAGTGGAGTTGATCGTTGCAGGGGACACAGGAAGACAGTGTAAGCAGGGAGAGGCAGGCCCCTCAACTGTATTTGTGATGTTTGTTAGAGCACACAGTGATGGATACATGTATTTGTATTGTTTTCTGTATTTTGGGCAGACTTGTAATGCTGATAATAATCAAGGCAGATGTGAGGGTTTAGCCAGGAAAGCACTCACATACCAAGCAGAGTAAATCAGTGAACTAATGCCTGCACTCAGCATAATAGAATCGGTGATCATCAAAGACCTAAACGCTGTCAGAGAAAAGCTGAGAGGAGCAAGAACAAACAGCATTCAGATCAAAAGGGATACAACCGCAGGCTCATGATTTTAAAGCTCTTGAAAATGAATGAGTATATATATCCCAATAATTTTATAAACTAAGCTATTAGCAATCAAAAAGTATACACAGGGTTAAACAAGAAGTAAAATGTTGAATGAGTCACTGGTGAACAACATATTAGTATCCAGAGAAACAGTCTTTGGAGGTTTAGAAAGTGTGGTTGGTACCCAGGGTCAGTGGTACACATCTGTAGCGTCAGCATTTAGAAACTAGGAGGCAGGACTTCAAAAGTTCAAGGCCAGCCTGGTCTATACCATGAGTTCAAGCACACAATGAGACATTATGGGGGCTGTAGACTTAGCTCAGGGTTGGAATGCTAGTGTGTACAATGGGTCCACTCCTGAATGAGAGGGGAGGGTAGAAAAAAAGGAGGAGAGGGAGGGAGGGAGAAAGGAGGGGGAAGGGAGGGAAGGAGGTAGGGAGAGAGGGAGGGAGGGAAAAAGGAGAGGAATTGAGGGAAGCTGCCCAGTCTTTCCTGAATGACTGAGGATCTCCAAGGTCACACACTCTTCCTTTTAGCCTGTTATTGAGCCCCTATCATGAGTTTTTCATTTTTAATGTCCCTTGTGAAATCTTCTTTGATAAATGTGTAATTTCCAAATGTTCTTTAAAAAACATATTTGGGGTTTCCCAGATGTCTTTCTGTTGCTGATTTCTAGCTTAATTATCAACTGTATTAGTTAAACTTTTTTATATGTAGGATCTTTTATAGTCCAGGATATGGTATGGTTTGTTGCTGATATATATACATGTTTATTAATATGTATTACATGCTAACTATATTTAGTAGTGGGTTTTATAACATTTTATGCCAGTGTGTAACACATTTTTTATCATATTCCTTCCTCATTGTTTTTCTGTCCCCTTCACATTCTCTCTGATCCTATTTTAGGGGATTTTTTTACGCTCTTATAAAGAACATCCCAGTAATACCAGCGAAGTCAGGCTGGTTGGTGAGGTCTCTGCATTTCCCTGGTGCATGGATCCCGTCCACTGAGAGAAAAGAGTTGAAGTTCCTCACGAGAAGCCGATTTGTTGGCCTCCCTTCAGCTCTGTCTGGATTCTACTTATCTATCTGGGAGGTCTGCTATTAGGCGGGGATAGATCTAAGTTTTAGTGTTTAGTAATGATTTGATCATTTTAAAATTTTGAGTCTCCTTCCCCCCCCCCATTTATCCCTAGTAATAATACTGGTACAGAATCCTATTTTGTCTTACTAATTTAGCTCCTGCTGCATCCTGTGATGATTGTCAGCTGGTCGGTACCTTTTTTCCAGGCTTTAACATTCTGTCCCTCTGTGCACATGTTTCTAGTGTGCTCCTTATAGATAGCATGGAGGTGAACTTTGCTTTTTAAATTCTAGTCTCAAGATTACTTTTTAATTGGCGTGCCGAGGCTGTTAACATTAATGCGATCATGTGTGTTGTTGGGTCTGAGCTGCCATCTCGCCGTTGGTTTCTGCTCATTCCCATCTGTTCTTTCTTCCATATTTTCCTCCTTTCTGACTTCTGGGATGAGTACTCTTTGAACATTCTGTTATATTGGCTTATTAGCCACTCTTGTTTCTTCGGAGTGTTTTTTCTTGAGTTCACAAAATATCCCTTTAACCTTCCAGTGTCGTTTGAAGCTCCTAGTTACTGCAGAGCGCTATAACGTGGCCATGCCTGGTCACACCCCTCCAGACCTCGGTGGCCTCCTTTTATCCTCTGCTACATTGTTAACCATGCCTCTCACAGCATCTTAGCAGCTTACTTTACACAGTAAACAAAACCGAGGGAAGCCCCAGCTCTTCCCTGTACCTCTTGCCTTTGGCTGCTTTTCTTGTTGTTCTGGCCAAATCACTGACAGAAAGCAACTTAACCAAAGTTCTTCTTGCTCACAGTTCAGAGGAACACAGGACCTTGTGGCAGGGAGGGTGTGGTACCAGCCAGGCAGCAGCTAAAGCAGAGAACGGCATCCAGCCTGGTTCTCCCTTCCCTTTTCACTCAGCCTTGTACCTCAGCCCATAGCAGAAAGACACCCACATTCACGGTGGGTCTTCTAAAGAGGTCCTCTTTGGAAGTTCCTTTGTAGGTACACCCAGAAGAGTCTCCTAGGTGACCACCAGCAGTCAAATCAGCAGGGTAGGTTGGCCCTGAAGGAGGAGCAGCCTCTATGCCTGCCAGTGTTCCTCATTTCTCAGGGCAGCAGGGTCTCTTTCCCTTATTTCTCTCAGAAGAGCTCCCTAACACACTTCTGCCATGCAACTTCGTTGCTTAAATGTTTCCTCTTTTTTCACCCCAGAAAATGCTTTATTTTGCTTTCATTTTGAGGGTGAAGAATTCCGGGTTTACAGGTTTCCCCTCCTCTTCGTCAGCTTTTAAACAAACCGTACTCCTCTTGCCTTTGGTTTGCACAGCTTCGCTTTTCTCTGCAGAATGTGTTTTTCCTCTCTGGTTGTTTTTAGGAATTTGTCAGTCAGGAGCTGTCACCGTGTCCTCAAGATGGGTGAGCGCTTGCTTTTAGTGTCTAATCTACTGCTGGTCTATTCCAGGCAGGCATTTTATGTTTTAATTTCTGTTTTTAATATTTTCCATCTTAATGCTTATTGTAGTTTGGCTTCCACTGAACCATTAATTATCTATCTGTTCTGCTTGTTTATTTTGTTTTTTGAAGATAGTCCTGGTTGTCCTGGAGCTGTGTAGAGCAGGCTGGTTCAGAGAGATCCACCTGCCTCTGCTTCCCAAGTGCTAGAATTAAAGATATGCACCACCACACTGGGCCCAAATATAGTTCTAATACATGTTTTAAGAATCTTGTGTGCCAATTCCATTCTCCTCTCTCCCTTCCTCCCCTTTGCACTTGCATGCATGCTTGCATGCTTATGTGTGTATTTGCGTGCATCTGTTTCCACTGCCTGGAACTTGGAGAAAGTTTTTTCCCCCATCTGTTCAGTACAGGCTGGATGCTATACTTGTGAATTTCATGGCTTCAGTGCTGGGTTTTATTGTGAACCTTTAAAGGATTAAAGGCTCACCCAGGGCAGGCAGCTAAGTTGCTTGCAGATCAGCTTGATTCTATGGAGATTTTCTGTTGAGCCTTTAAACTTTCTCAGGTTAAGTAATGAGTACCTCACTTCCGAGGTCAGCTTAGTCGCACTCCTGGGAGTGACCCAGTGTGTCTGAAGGCCAGAGAGTAAGATCTTTCTCTGGTTGGAATTCGGAGTTACATGTAAGTTCTACGAACTATTCATGTTTTAGATTCCCTAGTTCACAGTTTCTTAAAGTGCGGGTCATGACCCCACATTAGGACACATTGCTCAAGAGTGTCTTGAAAAACTTTGGCAACATTAAAAGGTTTCTGAACTGCAAAGACCAAAACTTACTTCGGAATCAGGTGCAATAAATCCATGGTGTTCCTGTGGCGCTCGCTCGTGTTGTATGGTGTGACGCCACGGCAGACTGTGCCCTGAACACAGGACATGTGCAGTTCACACTGCATGCATAGTCACACCTAAAGCCAACAAAGGCCGCCCAAAACATCTCAGATCATATTCCAGGTGACTCTGATGAACTGTGGTGTTTGTACTGCACATGCAAAGTTTACTGCTCTTGTAGAAATATAAAGATTCAGTTAAGAACAAAAACTTCTAATATCCCCTACTGTTATTTCTCAGCACACGAGCACCGTATTAGTATTGTCTTGGGTAAGAATGCTAAATGCTTCCTATTTGAGTGGCTGACGGGGTTTCATTAAAAAAGATCTCAGTAGATTTTGCTTGGGATTAGGACAGAATTTTTGACACCTTCTGAGTTGTTTCTGCTTTTGTTCATTTTTATGTTTTTGAGTGCTTGCCTATTAGGTGCATGCGAATCGTGTATGCCTGGTGTCTGCAGAAGTCAGAAGAGGGTTTCAGATCTCCTAGAACTGCAGTTAAAGACAGCTACGAGCCGCCCACCATGGGTGCTAGGAAGCAAATTTGGGTCCTCTACGAGAGTAGCAAGTGCTCTTAGCACTGAGTCATCTCTCCAGTCCAGTTCTGCTGCTCCTTATACATATTTATGAAGAGGAATTCTCAACATCAATGATTAAAAAAGCAAAATATTGATCAATTCTGAGAAATGCTGAAGATACTCTACATCCTGCATATCAAATATTCAGCTAAGATTTAATTCTTCTTGTAAAAATAAATGAGCACATTCATTAGTAAAAAATTTGTCTTTATAGGTATACCAAAGGTTATATTGAAATTAATTTATGACTTATTATTAGTAAGCATTTTAATTGTGTATGTAGTTTTTAAGTCTGTATGCCCAGAGTCACAGAGAAATTTCTCATGAGAAGAGGGGTCATGTGTAGAAGTTTAAGAAGCCATGCCTTGACCGGCCTTTCCCTATCTTTTGGATCTTTATTCTATGCTCTCATGAGTTAGGATTTGGGGACAGAGTCAAGGAATCCTTGTGTAATTCCCTAGGGACACTTCCTAAACAGCTTCTCCCAACTCCAGGGGTCAGCCCCAGTTTGCTTTCTGGGTTATGAGTTCTGTGTCTTCACCTCAGGAAGACACAGTGCTCAGCTTGACTCACATCTCTGGCAGAAAAGACCTCCACACAGCCAGGCTGAACACGGGCTCTCTTTGCTCCTGAGATCAGTGTGGACCAACATCTGATCATGTTTCTAAAGAACGGGCCTTGCTGCATAGCCCAGGCTAGCCTTGGGTTGTGTTCCTCATGCTTTAGGCTCACCAGGGCTGGGATTTCAAAGCTGCACCCATGTCTGACCTGGATATATTTGCTCTCATATATTCTCTGTTTACTTTTCTAGCTAACGGTGAGACATAAGTGGCCCTGGTTACTTCATCAGGGATAAAAGTGAGATCTCTACCACGCATGCCCAGATGTTTTACTTTGTGTGTGTTTCTATGTCTCTGCCACACGGGTGCAGGCGTCTGTGGTGGCCCCTCTGACACATTCTGGAATTCAGGACACTGTGATTCTGGGAACGGAACTCAGGTTATCTGGAAGGACAGCAGTGCTCTTAACTGCTGAGTCATTGCTCCAACCCGACATGCCCAGACCTTTGACATTGCTGTATGATATTATCATCTGCAAAATACATCCTTGAGAACCACAGACTAAATTTTTAAAAAAATCTGGTAATGCTTTAAATTAATGGATTTGCATTCTGCTACATATATGTTGTTCTTGTGACCCAGGTTGAACACATCTCGGTATTTTTTTAAAGATTTATTTTATATGTGAGTATTTGGCCTGCCTGTGTGTGCATTGCATGCATGCTTGGCACCAAGGAAGCTAGAAGAAGACTTCAGATCCCTTGGAACTAGAGTTTTGGATGGTTGTGAACCACCACGTGGGTGCTGGAAATCGAATTTGAGTCCTTAACTACAGAACTCTCTCCAGCCCCATGACTTTATCTTCTTAACACCAACAGCATTTAACATCATTTTGGTTACACAGTTAAAATATTTCTGAGTAAAATATTAACATTCATTTGCTGAATTGTTACCCATAAAGAATTCATGCTCTCCTGTTTTCGGAACCTCGCACTAAGCACACGGAAGTCTGCAGTTCGTGGAACCACCCATTCCTAAAAATTCCATCTGATTAAAATTTAAGATGGGCTAAAATGTATTCTCAAGAAGCACAAAATTAGATTCACTGTGCACTGAGTTTCAATGTGTTTAAAACAAGTCACCCAAGGAACAGTATTTAAATCAGTCTGATGGGGGTCTCACAGGAGGTGAGAGGAGGGGTCGAGGAGAGAGTTGTGCTGGTGGCGGAAGTGCAAGTGCAGCTGAACACTGCTGCTCATTCCCATACCCGGGCCCCCGGGGGATCTGGAAACCATGGTTCCAGGAAAGCCAATGGATGTGTTGTATAGCCCTCCATAGGGCCTCCAGAACTGAACTGCTTCTGCTCAGAGCGACCCGGTGTGAACCCGGGACCAGCCCATTCACCACGTTCTGATGCCTGCTCTCGGGGTTGTTTAAAGGCTCTCCAGCTTTTGCTCTGTCTAGAGTGACAGGCACCATGTGGGCTTTTAAAACATGCCCATTTACTTTTGTACACAGTTTTGAGACATTGTTTGAATTGTGTTTGTGTGGGGGGTGTGGTGTGGTGTGGTGACTAGGTGTGTGTAAAGTGGAGAGTGCACTGACTGAGTCTGGTAGTGGATGTCCCTCTCCCTCAGGCACTAGTGATCAACACACATGACTAAGGTGATCTGTGTGGTCATGGCCTCTCCGCACACGTGTACAATGTGGACTGATCAAATCAGGATCTAGCAATACCCTCTTCTCCTGTGGTACTCTGTCCTTCCAGCCTTTGAACGCCTGACTTTCAGTTTTTTATAAAATATACGACAGATTGTTGTGAAAAATCACTACCTCCCTGTTTTGTGGAAGCCGAGAGCCCACTGTTCTGGCTGCTGTGGAAGTTTGGTGCCCACCGTTCTGGCTGCTGTGAGAACCTAGAGCCCATTATTCTGTCTACTGTGGGAATCTAGAGCCCACCATTCTAGCTGCCATGGGAGCCTAGAGCCCACCATTCTGGCTCAAACAAACCTCTCCTATTGAAGGCAGCAGCTGTGGATCTTCTGAAACCCTGGTCAATCTTTCAATGTTCCTGGCCCCGACAACTCCCTCCCACTCCACTCTCTGGCAGTCAATTGTACAGTTAGCCCAAGCCCTCTGGACATGCATAGAAGGAAAGATTCGTCCCACTACTTCCTACAACCATGCCCCCCAACCCCAGTCTTCTCCTCTTGACAGCTCCCAACTCCTCACGATATTTTTTTTGATGTTTCATCTTAACTGCCTGCTATGGTTATTCAATAACATTGTGCCTTTAATTTCTCCCCCAGAATATACTTCTCTGCCAGAGAATGACTGATGGTTTCTCTGGTATATTTGCTCTTAGACCCGCTGCCCCTACCCTCCCTGGTCTACTCTGTAGCTCTAGGTTGAGCCCTGTGGTCAGAGTCCCTGGCTTCTCTATTTTATTTTGCTTTCTGGCTTTGGCAGAAGCTAAATCTTTGGGGAGCACTGAAAGATGCTGAAAGTCAAGAGGGGGACTTGTCTTGTGCACACCCTTCACCATGGCTGCCTTTCTGTGTCTCTCTTTCAGGCTCGCTATGTCTTTTGTTCCATCTTCATCAGCGCCTCCTTTCCTGGCACCAGGTTTGTGTCCTGAATGCATCACCTTCTCTTCATCTCCTCTGCTGCCGCCTACTTCCAGATTCGGATCTTCACCATCCCAGGAGTCTTAGCGCGTCCACTAGCTAGGGAAGCTTCCGGTTCCCTATATTCAATTCTCTGCTCTATAGACTCAGAATATTTCTTTCTTTCTGGCTGAGCCCTTTCCCACACCGACGTATCTCAAATTGTAGATTGTCGTGTTGGATGTGTAGTTCAGTAGTGGGACATTTGCCTAGGATGTGTGAGACCGTGGGTTCAATCCCTAGCACTGCCTCCCCACTCCCCCACCCCCACAAATGTAAGTTATTGTGATTGTTAATGCCAGCTTGACAGAGTCTAGAATCACGTGGGAGATGGGCCGTGGGGCATGCCTGTGGGGAATTATCTTGATGATGTACACTGATGTAGAAAGCTCATCCTAATTGTGTGTGGGACTATTCCCTAGGTAGGACATCCTAAACTATGTAGATTACAGCCATGCATTCAGCCCTCTCTACTTCCTGACTGTGGATGTGGTGTGCGGCGTGGTGTGCGGCGTGGTGTGCGGCGTGGTGTGCGGCGTGATGAGGTGTACAGCTGCTTCTAGCTCCTGATGCCCCAACTCCCCGCCCTGATGGACTTCACCCTGGAACTGTGGTCCAGAATGAACCATCTCCCATTCAGGCTTTTGTTAGGGCATTTTGTTAGAACACCAGGAAATGACGTGTGTGTGTGTGTGTGTGTGTGTGTGTGTGCGCACGTGTGTGTGTTGCACTAATATCTGAACACTTGCCACCTCAAACACGCTGTGTGACCAACAAACAGCTCCCATTTCTCGCCTCACAGAATCTGTAACACCCAGGGCTGTGCTTGGCTGCTGGTAGCTGCCCAAGTAGTATTTGTAGGATAAACGCTTGAATGGGAATTAAGGAGCAATGAAATCAAATGTATGACAACCCCAGGTGACCCAGAGGTATTTCCCCATACTATAGATCGTCATGAGCAAATCATGAATTAGTCTTTAATGAATGAAGACCAGCCTAACTGCGGAGACCACACACTCAGCTCACTTTGCTATTTCCTTCTTCTTCTCCAATTTGAGTTTAGTGGAAAGCAAACTTTCTCATTTTCCATTCCAGCATACTGAATTATTCATCCAGAATGTTCTGCTGGTATTTCCTCCCCTGTCAAAGTTCGACAATTCCAGAAACACTCTGCCCAGAGCGGCAATCAGAACAATTAGCAGCCCATTACAAGACTCAACCTGCCCACAGCCTTGGGTTCCCAGCCCGGAGCTATGGGATGGAGAGCCAGTCTGGCGCTGGGATCTGATTTTTCTACAGGCCTTGGGATTCCGTAGAAACCTGGCTGCCTCTTCACCTTTGTCACTGGGACCAGAGACCTAAAGAGCTTTGAGGCCGAGCTCATGATTCCCCTAGTACCATCCTTGTCCCATTATCTGGAATATCCAGCCTTTCGGTGATATGACATCATCATCTACAAATCACAGTTCTCCGGGATGCTTGTGGTCCACGGATACATCCCTGCTCGTGGATCCCTTTGACCTCAGTCCCCTTAGCTCTGGAGTAGGAAAGAGTCACCGTGGAAAAGAGGAAAACCAGCCTCACAGTGTCGTTGTTGACCGATGAGACACACCTTGGGAAGGTGATGTCCATTCCACCATCCGTCCCTGTTGCCCAGTCTCACCCTTGGAAGGGAGGATTTGTCCCACGTTCGTACTACTGGGTCTCCTTCACACTGCTCCTCAAACCCATCCCTAAGGATGCATGTCTGCTCCAGGTCTGAGTTCTCAGATAAGGAAGAGCCACACAGAGCTCTTTCCCTTCCATCACAAATCTCTTCAGGTGTCACCGTGGGGACTTCTCTCTGTGGTACTGGCCAGGGACTCTGCAAAGCAGAGATTCCCCCTTGCTAGCAACTCCCTGTTGTACTGGCCACCAGGGGGTGCTAGGGAGAATAGAAGGCCAAACAGGAGGCAGGGAGCACCTGTGCAGACTCTCTGAGAACCAGCTACCCATGGCTAGCTGCCTCCTCCCCTCCCAACTATAGCAGCTCCTTCTCAAACCTGCTGGACCCACGCAGCACAGTCTCCATCTTCTGTTTCTCAGAATTGGCTCTTTAATCTATGCTGTGCCAGCGTCCTCTCCACAGTAGAGGCCATGGGCTTGAGGGCCTGCTCCTCCAGGTATCTGGGAACCTCTATACCAGGTCCCTCCTTCCAGAACTTCTAGGCACTGTAATAACCTTTGATTAATTCTCCCAGCACCAGGAAGAGAGACAGCCTCCTATAGTCACCACATTTGTCCTCTCTTAGAGCCTGCTCCATCTGCTCTTACACGACTAATCTCACGACAGGGGTGATCTCAAGCTCCTAGGCTCAAGCAATCCTCTGCCTCGAGCCTCCTGAGCACTTGGGACTACAGATGCCCGCCACCAGGCCTAGCAACAATTCTTTGCATGAATTTCTTTCTGTTCAAATTATTGGTAGCTTCTCCCTCCTCATGGGACCCTAACTGATTCGGAAATGGAACCCAGGAGAGAAGGCAAGGCTAGTGAGTAACAAGAGAGGGGAACCACAGAACCTCTGGAGTGCAGAGCATTGTGGGGGAAGAGAGGAGTGTGATGGACAATCAGTGCGAGCCATGCTGAGGAGCACCCCTACCAGAATGTGATATCTATGTGCTCATCTAACATCTACTTGGCATCTGTCAATCATCTACATATTGTCATCTATTATCCACCTCCCATCTATTAATCTCTACCATTTATTAGTCATCTATCAACTATATCGATCATATATGTATTAGCTATCTATGTATCAGCTATCAATTATCTGTCAGTCCTCTATCTGTTTCTGTATCTATCTGCTTATCATTTATTATGTGTACCTACTATATACTTGATTAGTAATTTAGTGAGTGAATGGATAGCTGGTGGGTGGATGGATATGGATGGGCGGATGAATGGATGTATGATGGATGGGTGGGAGGGTGGGTGGACATGGATGGATGGGTGGGTGAGTGGGTGGATGGATGGATGTACATATGCCCTGTGATAGGGAGGCTGGTGCTGTGGACAGAACCATCTACAGCTAATTCCCCTGGAATTTCACCCAGCTGACTGTTGGATATGTGCTATCTAGCATAATGTCATAAGCTCATGACAGGGACAGGACAGTGTGGAAGGTGTCGAAAAAGGAACAGACGTGTGTGCTCTCTCTCCCACTGACACCTGCAGTGAGTGTTTCCTGGCCCAGGTTCTCCAGAAGAGGTAGCACCCATGCAGCTCCTGCACTAGACAGGAGATCCAGAGCGTTCTCCCCTGGATGCAGGAACCACAGGCCTGCAGAGTTCAGGAGTGTTGTTGGAAAACAGGCCCTGGGGACTGGAGGGCGGGGTGAGGCTGATAGAATATAGTCCATCCTGGGCTACATCTGACTGGCCAGAGAGCCCTGCTAGGTAGAATGGAATGCTATAGTCTCACACCAGCAAGCTGTATAAGAACCACACTGCAAGAGGAGCCCTGAAAGTGTTTCAGGTTGAAGGGTGTAACATGACGGGCCGGCTTGTTGGGGTATCTGTTCCCGCCCGGTACCCCACAACCGGCAAGTCCCAAAGAAATTCACACACAGGACTCCATAAGATTATAAACTGATTGGCCCATTAGCTCAGTGTTCTTATTAACTAATTCTTACATCTTATGGTAACCCATAATTCTACTGTGTTAGCCATATGGCTTGGTACCTCTTTCAGCTGTCAGCTCACATGTTGTTGCCTCTTCGGTGGTCTGCGCAGGAATGGTGGAGGAAGCTTCCTGTTTTCCCAGAATACTCCCAGTCTCTTTGCTCCACCCCTACTTCCTGTCTGGTTTTCCCACCTATACTGCCTGCCTGGCCAATCAGTGTTTTATTAAAATATGATTGACAGAATACAGACAATTCTCCCACACCAGAAGGGCTTGTCTCTGCAACTCCTCTTAGACGGGGCCAAGAGTCAGCAGGTTACCCAGGTTTTATGGCTAACATGTTAGATCTTTGCTGAAGCAGACTCTTAGGCCAGGAGAAGTGTGCATAGCTTCATTGGGCCATGCTCTTAGAAACAACCCCTGAAGAGCAAAAGATGGAAGCTAGGAGGAGCTCGGGCTTAAAGAGGTTCTGTATGGAAGGCTGGACTAGTGTGGTGTGGGGGGCCGCAGCCACATTCTCCATCATCAAGATGGCGCTGACATCCGGCTTCACCGCCAGGTGAACGCACACGTGTTGGTAATTTTCCACTACTGTGTCCCCGCCTACTCCCGAGGCATCACCTAGGACTGGGAGCAGCGGACCAATCCAAGAGTGACACGTCCGAAGCAGGGTCTGTTTCATATATAAGGGATGACTTCCTTCATATCTGGGTCTCCGCCATGTGGCTTATGCTCTAGCTACCAAGAGGCATTAAAGCTATTTCTGCAGAAGAATCCTGTGTCCCGCGTGGTTCTTGCAGGCGAGGCCGAGCGCAGGACAGTGTGGAATGGATCAATTGTCAGGTGTGATTGCCCTCAGGAACAGTGCGACCTTTTGCTGGCGATGTTCTCAGAGCACACCCAGGGGCAGACATCTGAGAGAGTCTCATCTCTGAGTGGGCTTCTAAGCAAAGAAGAGGTCAAAGATGTTCCCTGAAAAATGTGGGGACCAGACTGTGTCCCCAGCCATGCAGTCTCAAGTCCTGAGTCTGAGGAAGTGTGCTCCTCTGGCTACCCTGCATAGTGCCTGTGCTGCAGAGTCAAGCCCTGGCTCCCTGCAGTGTACTCAGCAAACCCTTCACAGCATACCCTGCCAGTGGGACTTCTACACAGCCTGCTGGGGTGAGACTGCAAGCTCTGCCCCACCTGGTAGGGCTCTTTGGCCCAGGGTGGACCATATCTCCCTCTGTCAACTTCACCCTGACTGCCAATCCCCCAGAGCATCTGCAGCCCCCAAGTTCAGAAACTACTGCCTGGCATTGCATTAGAATCTGGATGCTGCTGGCTAAGACTCCAGAAGATAATCTATCTGGAAACATGAGAGTCGATTACTAAATTGATAAACACTGCTGCCCTTTCGGTTCACTGCTTCTCAGCAGACAATGCTCCACCCAGCCCACAGCCTCTGGCTTCCACACAAAGGAGAAGGTGTACTCATGGGGCATCCCCACTGGCCAGCCAGGGAAAGGCCTCCAAGATGAGGATATATACTTTTTTCCACCTTCGTGGTTCAGGTTTCAAGTTGTGTACAGGGGTCCTACACCTCAGCCTGTCAGATATCACCTTAAAGACAGACCTGTCTGGAAGGCCGTGTTTCAGGGTGTGGCCCTCTCCTGTGCAAGGAAAAGGGCAGGAGGTTCCTTTTGTCAAAAGCCCAACGCCATTTACAGAACAGTGAACTATTTACAGATCGGTAGTCTGAATTCAAATGACTACTCTGACGCTTCCTAATAGTAGAGGCTGACTTGCAGGAGCCGCTGTTC